CAACTGCCTGTCGGCGCATTTGACCGCTGATTGGTCCGATGCTGCATTCTGTCAATCATTGCGGCACCGCGTGCGGTGTCAGATTACTCATCTCTTTTTTTTTTTTTCCTTTCTCCTGCTTTGGGCTGACTTGGTGCTCTACGTGCGCCTGAGGACGACTTTAAGGGATGTCCAAACAATGTCTAGATGACCTAGTATGGACTTTATAAGGACATTCTCAGGACCAGTTATGGACATTCTGAGAATATATTATGGACATTAAATCCATGCAAATTCTAGATCATGACCGTTCCAGCCTTTGGCAGAAATCAAAATATGAAATTTAGTAAAATAAATAAATTAACAAACAAGCAGTACAGCATGACTAGAAACAAAAAATCAATGTAATGCTTAATTGGCTCAGATGAATAACTCACAAGAAGTGTAGTAACTGTTATGCTGAATTTTACCTGTGAAAGTGATTAGAATTGGTTCTGTTTGGAAGTATAAGACTTGGACAAGTATGTTAAAAGGAGTAGTTATTAAAACGAGATTCTAAACATTTCATAACACATTTAAGAAATATAACTAAAATAATACAAGGTTATACTTAAGTATCCTTTAACCCAACATATTTCATCACTTTATACCCGTTACTATGATACTTTGAGAATTTTGCTAACATTTTATATACAAAGAAAAGGTTTGCTTCTTACCCATCCTGTCTAAACATCTAAACAGTGCATCTAAACAGTTATAATATTGCTTGATTTACAAAAAACACATACGTTAAATATATCACATCACATGATATTTTTTTCTGACAGTTTTCACTTAGAAACCCCCCACCCTCTGTTAAAATGGTTTAGTCTAAACTCCCGCTCCGGGGTGCCTGTTCCAAAAGCACAGTAGTATCTTGCATAGCTGGGAATTGTGCCCCCTGCTGGCGGACACTCACTCACAGAGCTGTGAGCAAAGACACTTTGTGAGTGTGGAGTGTAAACCAGCCCTAACATTTAGTCTACATGAAAACCCTGCCCTATGCCTAACCTAGGCCACAGACAAGCTTCGGCTGAAACACACAAACTCTGTATCAAAGACAGTAAATACATATCGAGAGAGTTCAACACCCACGCAGTTTGGTAACTTAACCATCCCTGTAACATTGCTGGACTTCAAGTCCCAGACATACTTCTGTAGTGTTAGCTTGGTTAATTAATGTTATATCGGGGCATCTTGCCGTAACATTTATGTCATTGTAAGTTAGCGGAATTAACAAACTTTCTCAAATTAAATAAACATCTAGCTAACGTTATAAAAACCTAAACATATTGTGACAAATTATAACATTTACGCAAATCATAACATTAATCTCAGGGTTAATCTATAGTTAATGCATTAATAACTACTTTAGAATTTACAAGTCTCTACAGAACCAGCTGGCTAACAATATACAAACAACATGTGACGGCAGATTATATCTTACTAAAGTAACACTGGGGGGTGGATCCATAACACTATAGATAACGTTATTGATTTACCAAGCTTACTTGCTGATTATGTATCTAAATTTCTTACTTAATGCTGTCTTTCATTGCTGAATGTTCCTCCTTTAGTCGTCTTACGTGCGCTGTCACTTTCTGCACCGCATCAAAGACAAACTCACAAGTGTCACAAAGGATGCTGTCATGCTTGCATATTATTGACCGCACACATCCAGAGATGGGTGTGGTGAAGCCGTCTGAAATCTTTGCACGCAGTTCTGTTGCCGGGCAGAATTTTGCAGGGCACCAAGGCCACTGTGGCCTCTGAACATGGATTTTCAAAGGGGCATCAAAGCCTGAAAGAGGGGCAATGACGTCCATGGCCGTCGGTGAAATTCCTGCCCTGTCGCCCGTGATCTATTAGGTTGTTTACGGTACAGGTTTATATTTGCGCACCATCACATGCCGGGTCTTCTGCTGGTTCTTAAGTGTGGCCATGAGTTATTCCAGCCTTTGGCAGAAATCAAAATATGAAATTTAGTAAAATAAATAAATTAACAAACAAGCAGTACA